AAAAAGTCTACACACCCTTGTTAAAATGCCAGGTTTTTGTCATGAAAAAAAATCAGACCAAGATGAATCATTTCACATGTATTTCCACCTTCACTGTGACTCAAAATCTGTAATTCCATTGAAAAACAAACGAAAATCTTTTAGAGTAAAAATAAAAATAAAGAACTAAAATAATGTGGTTGCGTAAATGTGCACCGTAACCCTTAAACTAATACTTTGTTGAAGTACCCTTTGGCTTTATGACAGCATTCAGTCTTTTTGGTAGGAGTCTATCATCATGGCACATCTTGACTTGGCAGTCTTAGCCCACTCTTCCTTGCAAAAGCACTCCAAATCTGTCAGATTGCGAGGGCATCTCCTGTGTACAGCCCTGTTCAGGACTACCCACAGATTTTCAATAAGATTCAGGTCTGGGCTCTGGCTGGGCCATTCCAAAACTTTGATCATCTTCTGGCGAAGCCATTCTTTTGTTGATTTGGAGGTATGCTTTGGGTCATTGTCATGCTGAAAGGTGAAATTCCTTTTCATCTTCAGCTTTTTAGAAGAGGCCTGAAGGTTTTGTGACAAATTTAGTCCACTTCTTGATGACCATCTTCAGTGTGTTCCATGGTATATCTAATGCCTTGGAAATTGTTTTGTGCCCTTCTCCTGACTGATACCTTTCAACAATCAGATCCCTTTTATGTGTTGTAAGCTCTTTATGGACCATGGCTTTTGCTGTAAAATTTAACTAAGAAAATATCAGGAAAATCCTACTAGAAGAGCTGAACTTTATATGGGGTTAATCAGAATCACTTTAAATGATGGCAGCTGTGTATTGACTGCTGTTTAACATGAGTTTAAATGTGATTGGCTAATTTAGAACACAGTCACATCCCCAAGAGCGCATTCACACTTATGCAACCACATTTCCAGTCTAGAAGATTTCAGTTTGTTTGTCAATGGCATTGTACAGATTATGGGTCACATTGAAGGTGGAAATAAATCTGAAATGATTCATCTTGGTCTGATTTTTTTTTTACATGACAAAATCCTGGCATTTTAACCGGGGTGTGTAGACTTTTTAAGTATGTTAAAGGGGAATTCCATCGTTTTTGCAAAATTCTTAATCATTTAATGGTTTAGATGCAAACACAATCATTCAGAGTGGTTTGGTGTGAAATCCACCTTTCTAGAGAATCTTACAGGGTCAGAATTGCTCACCATTATTGTACTAGGAGCCAGACGTCTGAAGTATTCAGTGGCTCTAAAAACTACATCTTGTTAAGTTTATACACAAAATGGTTATGAATGTGTTGCTTGATACCTGAGACATTGTTTTGTGATAGTTTTGTTATGAAGTTTTTGCCTAAAATGTATTTTTAGTAAAACTATTACTCCAGGATTATTTCTGTGTTTCCTCTCAAAACTGCATTCAACCGAGATCAATGCGTGCAAGCTAACATGATTTTGTTGTTGTTGTTTTTTTCACTAGTCTAAAGTTGTCTTCGTTGGTGAAGTGGTTGCTACAAACCCCAGATTTGTAGAGTTGTTCGACTTCAGTATTTGTGTCTAGCTTCCAATCAATTAGCCACAGCTTCAGGACTTCTGGTATTTGTAACAGCAACCGAAAAAAACACACCATACTGTATTTTCTTATTTTTGCCTCCTAGTACAACACTGTTCACCACCATCCTGAACAATTAACCCACAAGGTGCAAGTGTGATCTATTGCAGCTACTCTGATGAATACTCACATAAGCTGTGAGTTTTGCTGATACCGTGCAACACAACCCCGCAACGCAACAACGCAAACGTGCAGAGCGGAGAGGTACATACAGGCCGTTGTAAGGAAAAAACAGTACAGAAAAAAAATTTGCAGTATTTTACCATTATCAACGTGACATAAAACGTATGACACATGTAAGTTCACTGGTCATTTTGGATAGCAGAGAAAATGGTGATATTTATGTGGACATAATGCTGTCTGGTTCTTAGTACTACAGTGGTGAACAATTTTGACTTCGTAAATTTCTCTAGAAAGGCACATTTCACACCAAACCATTCTGAATGATTGTGTTTACATCTAAACCACTGAATGATTCAGTAATTTTGCAAAATCAGTGGAGTTCCCCTTTAAGTCATTCCAAATCCAGTGTTGGACAGTTTTTATTAAGCTTCTAGGCTACATTGGCCTTTGTTCTAGATCATTGTTATTGTTTTGATCTTTGGTGGAATTTTCTTTTTGGTTTTAAAAGTGGAAGGAATGGTCTTGGAGGTCGACTGCTCTGTACATTTCCCTTGCTTTAACATGCCCCATATAACTCAGTTAGGCTTTGTTAATGAGCTGATTAGTTGGATCAGGTATATTAGGAATCACTGCACAGACTTTCTCTACATTAAAGAGGCATTACAGCGTAAACTAGTATTTAACATGTTACTTGTCATGTTGTGTAGTTTTCTGCATTGAAGCCTTGTACCATGCAGTCTCATCAGCTTCCAAATTTTGCTTGGTTTTAAAGTTTTTTGTCTGTCACTATAACAACCAGCATGCAAATGTGTCAAACAACCACTGGGAGTTCCTAAAGCATTCAAGAAATCTTGACTGCTAGCTCAGCCACTAATCTACGGCTGGGTGAATAAGCAATTTTGAGAAATCATTAAAGCAGGGCACAATTATTGATGAATTTCATTGTTTTCGTTGAAACCACAGGTATTTTACAGTGACATTCGGTATGTTGTTGCTGTTGCTCAGAAACCTTGTGTCTCCATTTTTTTCACTTTCATTGTCTTCGTTTTTTTTCACTTTTTTTGGCGGTTTATGCACTCTAGTTATCCTTTGCATTGTGTTAAAAATAAAAAAATGGAAATAGATCAAGTGGAAATGGAGCAAAAAGAATGGTCTAAAATTATTTTAAAATAGATTTTGTTACATTTACTTCCTTTGTAAGTTAAGAAAGTTTTGCTTCTTGTGTATCGTTACCCATTTTGGAGATGCAAGGTTTTGTTCTGACAGCAACAATGTACAGGACAATTTCTAATTGGTTCAGAAGGGGGTGAATAAGCCCAAAGCCTTTTTTGGAGTTTTGCAAATACAAACACACCCACAAAAAACAAGCTTGTCAAAACAAGTTTTGAAAACGTGCACATTAATACACATTAATGTGCATCACTATAAAAAAGCAACAAAGCAAGCAACATAAAAAAATGGCACTCTTGAGGGGACATGCAGAGAATAGCCTCATTATTCAACGCTAGTGTACGTTGCATTTTGAATATTTCTGATATTTGTATGTCCACATATCTAAACAACTAAAATGTGCTTATCGTTTTCCTGACAAGAAAAAAAGTATTGTTACAAATAAACACGGACGCATCAGAGCTCTGGATGCACTCTGAATAAAGATTTTTTTAATACTTTTAACTTAACCCAAATCATATCTGAGCCTGTAATACCCAATACAGAAAAACCTAGTTAAGTCAACACTGATCTCATACTGTGTAACAGGCTGTATAATTGTGTGCGAGTAAGAGTATTTGATTTAGGTGTCAGTGACCACTGTCCCATAGCCTGTGTAAGAAGGGCTGCAATAAACAGAGTTGGATCTAAAATAGTGTTAAAAAAATGTGAATACTTAAACGAACAGGCCTTCTTACAAGATTTATATCAGAGTGACATAGAAATTGAATTGTAAAAAACTGGCAACCTAAGGGCTCATCTCGAAAATATGCACAAATATGCAAAGTATGAGCGTGGGCATGTACATTCACACAGCACTGAAACAACGGTAAGCAAAATGGGTGAAAAAGTCTTATGCCCCAATTTAATAATCCAATCGGTGGCAAAGCGAAGATTTACATCCTCCTTGAACTTTTTTTACTTTCCATAGTTGCAGTGTTGTTTGGTGCCTATTTCTTCTCAGTGAATGAGCACTCCTGAGGATGTGATTCATGTAGGGGTATGTGAATTTGAGAGGCAACTGAATCAGATGCAACTTTCTTGTATTGGTTTGCCCTTTTATGGACATGCTGTGCAAATATAGATATTCAATCATTCGAACCTGTGCGTTTGTCATTTTTGACAGTCCTAGTGATGTGACAGATGACCAGCATGTGTCACGTGACCAGTAGCTCGAATGTGAGTGAGTCAACTTGATGTGTAATAGCCTAGAGTCAGTTGTAAGTGCCTTAAGATGTCATGTCTACTGTACTGTGTTGCACTGTACATTTTATTTTGGGAAATGCTATTATTTGTATGTTATGTCATGGTCTCCATTGCAACTTGTTTTTTTGCTGTGTTGTTGAGGTATATTGAGTGTTGAAACATTTGCACAAAGTTGCACTTTAAATTTCAGTTTGAATGTTTGAATTGAGCTGACTAATCAAAAATGCTGCAAAATATTCTGTGTCTGAAAAGAGTTTGAATAAAAAGAAGCAGCAGTATTGCATGACTAAGTCATGTTTTGGGCTGTATGTTTCTTCATTTAGGAAAATAGAACATCTGTTTAACAGTTTAAGCATTATTATTATTTAAAAGGCTAAGTTAAGAAATGTGCATCCAGTCAATTATTAACAGCTTAGTTGTTTAAGAGAGGGAAAAGGATGGTATCAAATTAGTATCTGGATCAGCAAATACTCAAAGTTGTGGTATCGGTATCGGACATGAAAAAGTGGTATCAAGCCACCCCTAATTTGCAGGGATGGGGGAGTAGCTAAGTAGTCCGTTTTACCAACTTGGCTGTAAATAGGTCTCAGTATGTGCTAATGTGCTAGTATAGGCTGAAAATGTAATATAAACAAAAATGCATGCTTACTTTGCTCTGCTTTAAGCTTTAGGTGGAACGGGAGAATTCAAATGAGAAGCTGACTTCAGCTTTGCAAGTTTTTGCAGATTAAATGTATGAAAAAACCAGCTCAGTGCTTATAAATGCAAATAAGTCCATTCATCTCCATATTATTGATATTCGTCTTAAATCTTTCTCTTTGCCTTTTCGTTATCTGCATTGCTGTATGACCTGCAGTCTGCGCGTCAGTCTTCAGTGTTAAAGGTTGGTGAATTAGCAGTTATGCGTTAACTCCAGCGTTTAAGACCAATTATTGTGAAAACTGTGTTAGAGCTGTATGTTTTAACGATTTTACAGCAAAGGAGGATTGTTATTTTACCTAAAAATCTAGTTCTGCTGCAGAGCCACAACAGCTCTGCAGCAGGTGAGAGATTATTCAGCTACGCAAGCCTGATTCTCACCCCAGACAGAGCCAGGGTCACTGATGAGAATTTTGAGGCTGAAGTGTTACTGAAGTTTAATAAACCACTTTGAATGTCATGTCTGTACATATCTTGCTGAAATGGAGCAGTTTAATTTAAACAGTTGACAGTTGGAGCAGTTTTATTTCAACAGTTGACAATACTTTTCACAAAATTGTTTGGTTTGTATATGTTTATTTTTGTTGATTTTTGTTAGGAAAAACCTGGAATGATTGACTTTGCCTTTACTTAGTCTTGATTTTTGTTGGATATCACACCTTTGGTTGTGTAAGTTTGATTGTTGTTTACACTTAAACTTACTTTTTGGTGATCTTTTTGTATATTTGCAGCTTTAAATGAATGTTTCAGAATATAAATACCTTAGAATATGGCTTGATTACAAATTGTCATTTGGCAAACATTCAAGAGATAATCAAAAATTCAAGGGCCAAGCTTAGTTTCTATGTCTACCTCTCTCTCAGACACCCACTGTTTAAGCATCAAATATGTTCTGTAGTGACCAGTGAATGGATGACGATATAGACAGCCTAGAAACAGTACTCTCCACAAAAATTGGCACCCCTGGTACACATGAGCAAAACAAGCTGTAAAAAACATTCTTTATGTGCAGCCTCCCTTTGCAGAGATAACAGCTCAGAGTCTTCTGCTGTCATCTCCAATTCTCCAATTTAATGAGACTGAAGAACATATGGCAAGGGATCTGAGACCATTCCTCCATACACAACCTGTCCACATCTTTTAGATTCTGAGGGCCACACTTCGGACTCTTGTCCTTAGCTTATTCCACAGGTTTTCTATGGGCTTAGGTCAGGTGACTGGTGTAGCTATGGCAAAACCTTAATTCAGTGGTCAGTGAACTATTTTTGTGTTGATTTGAGGTGTGCTTTGGATGATCATCCTGCTGGAAAATTCTTGGCTGAGGCAGTCAGGTTTTGATTTTATTTCTGCTGGTACTTGATGGAGTCTGGGATACCATGTGTCCAAATACAGATCCACCACCATCCTTCACAGTGGGGATGAGGTACTTTTCTGCATTGCTATCTTTGTGTCCATGCCAAACTCACCTCTGGGGTTGCCAAAAAAACCTCTGTTTTGGTCTCATCTGGCCATAGAACACAGTCCCACCCCGCAAAACAACTTATGCTTATATAGCCCAGTTGATAATGTGTTTAATTGTAGTTGGGGAGACATTCTGACTCCAAGACCTAACTAATTTCTCAGATTCCCCATCTGTGATTTTTGAAGATTCTTTGTCCACTTGAAGCATCCTCCTCACTCTGCATTGGGCCAGTAAAGACATATGTCCTCTTTACAGCAGATTCTGAACATTGCCAGTTGTTTTAATCTTCTGATTTTTTGCCCTGATAGTGGAAATGGGCATTTCCAATTGTTTAGATATTTTCTTGTAGCCATTTTCTGATTTGTGCAGCTTAAAAACCTACTGTTGTACTTCATTTCTCATAGTGATGAATGACTAAGGGCATTTGGCCTGTGTTTCCTCACATATATATTCCCCATTAAAACAGAAAGTCATGGCTGACCATGCAAGTGTTCCTAATAACTCAGGCAAACTTTAAAACATAAAATATGAATGGGAATATACTTCAGTTAGATTAAGAATTCCTAACGGTGCACATATAAATTTAAGATAATTGTTTCCTGACAAGATTTAGTTTTTTCTTTCAATCATTATGTCTTAAATAAAAGTTAGATTTTTGCGGATATTTTGAATGAAAGATCAAAAGGATAAGTAATTAAGAATATTTTTACAGCTCATTTTGCTCATGATTACAAGGGGTACCAATATTTGTGGAAGGCACTGTATATTATAGCCTACTAACAATATATTGAAGTTAAAAGCCAGACCAAACCAAACAACATCATAGCAATACTTAACCCAGAAATGTTGTGGAAAGCAGATCTGTAAAATACACTCATTTCCTTCTTCTGTTGTGTACAGGGAAGACAGTGTCTGGTGCCTTTTGGTGGCTGGGAACAGGATGGTACCAGCTAATGACAATGATGTCTCTGATCAATATCTTTATCCTGACCAGGTAATGTTGTTGTTGTTATTATTATTATTATTATTATTATTATTAGATTTTTCATTTACTTAATATGTAACGGTTATTTAGTAAGGGTTTTTTAGTAAAAGTATTGATCTTAGTTAAGTCAATAAGATTTTCTATAGTTTTATTAAACACATGACACTTCCAAAAGTGATAACCACTAACACCTCTGCAGTATATCTTTTAGAACAGGGGAAAAACACACTGTGCTATTGGTTTGTATCATTTTGGACACCCCACAACCCAACATCATGTTACATATATTGAGCAAACTCCAGACAGTGCAATCACCATAGACTTTTTTTTATCAGGCATGACCAAACATTTGCAGGATAACTGAACACAGAACACAGATTCAGCACTAACAAGTTTGTGCAAACATAACAACCCCCTCTCAGAAAGCAGAAAATTAAACATGGTATGTTGTCACAAAGTCCTTCAGGTGGCCAGGGCATGAACAAATGTGAGCAGGTTGCAGGGCACAGTGGTGCTGGGGCAGTGAAGCACAAGGCTGGGGCAGATAAAAAGCAGTGCACATGTGGTGGGTGCCCTTGTTTGCAAGTTATGAAAGTTGCGAGCTGTTGTCAGTTGTGATGGTCTCTGGTAGGCCACAGTGTGAGAAATGGGTCTAGAAATTCAGTAAAGACCTGGGAAGTCACCGAGCCAGTTGTGATGAGTTCAGGCCATTTAGAGTCCAGGTCTTTGGAGACCCCCCAAAAGCATTGGTGGTGGGGGATTGCATAGATCTCCCAGCAGACATATAGTTGCAGGTGCTCCCAGGGCTAATATGGCCAGGCCAACCATTCAATGTCCCTGTCTATCCCTGGCCACCAGACCAGGTCTTAGCCATGGTGCTTAAGCTTGACAGTGTCAAGGTGGCGCTCATGCCGTAGCCAAAACATGCATACACAGGGCAAAAGGGACCACTGTGCAAAGCCTACATGCCAAAAAAGCTCCATTTCAGCAGGAAAACTCCTATTTGATTTGGGAGAACGCAACCAGCTCCTTTGGGACCTTGTGAGGCCAGCCATCCAGCAAGAAAGTGCTGAGCTGAGAAAGAACTGGATTCTGTTCTAAGCAGGGATGGCTCTATACTGATACTGATATCAGGTCTTTGCCTGATACCATGCTCATTTACTCATACTTGACCTCAAAAATGCACTGATACTAACATTCAATACCACCTCATATCATGTAACGTAAGTTGAGTGTATGCTAATGCGCTAATGAACAAACTACTCAAGTCAGCCATGACTACGACCAGTTAACTGGTCCAGAAAGTGACAAGCAGGGGGCATCCGGTCAAGGCAGATGAAGGAACAGCATCACACCTTACAGAATGGGCAGTTATTCAGCTTGGCAAATACACACACTGAGTTAGTTCTGCTAGGAGTGACTGAGAGCAGTTACCAATGGTAATAGAGTGCAGCAGTGACTCCAGCAGGCCTAGCTATTACAGCCTAACTGAAAGGGAAAGCCAGAAGGTAACAAAAACATGAGGGCTCCCTGAGATGCCAGCGCCCCTCTGCTCCACTGTCAACAAACCTGAGTGAATGCATGAGAGCAGTGAGATGACGGCCCCAACACTCCCATTTTACCATAATAGTCTATGTTCCTGAACCCCCAGATCTGCACCTTTTATTTAACAGGAAAAATAAAAACTAATCATCATAGGCTTGACTAAACAAGAAGGCATTTAGACTTAAAACTGAGGCTGTGTCTGAGTCCTGGACACTGACTGGTAGGTTATTCCAAATGTAGCAACCCCAGCTGAATGAAAGTCAACTCGAGAACTGATGAATCATGAAGGTTTATTGCCTTAGTCTTCATGAATTCACTGTAAAAGCTGAATTAGAACAACAAATACAAAAAGGGGGGGGTTGATTGGTTCGCACAATCAAACTAAAGGTGATATTTTGACGAAGCATGTCTCACCTCATGAAACCATTCACAACACACAAGCAAGACTGTCAATTTGTAAAACGCTATTACAAGAAGTTCACAGTCTCCTAAATGCGGTAAATTTAATACCACTCAGTGCTACTTAAAACCATAAAACACAATATCTCTAATAATTTACAGACTAAGCAAAGAAACAGAAAGCAACACAACAGCTTGACCCTTGAATGTTTAAAAATTAAGAAAATACAACAATGAGGCTGAAAATTCACGGGAGCGTGGGCTTACATTGCATGGATCACATAAGCACAGTATACACGATCACAGAAGCACTTTGCAAGTACTCTACAAGCTCTGTGAATTAGTAAAATTAAATTATCAAATTACCTTGTTCACCTTCCAGCTAGGTACTAAGTTTGCAGAGTTTTCAGTGAGGACCTTTCAGTGAGTCTGTCTCCATTAACCGTGTTTTCCCTCCATTTCTTGCACATGCACAGTAACATGAGGCAGTACAGAATAGCACTCACAGAATAAGTCAGTGTATTCTTACGTGTACACTCAAAGAAAAGCTGAGAAATAAATTAACGGTTAAAAACTAAGAAAATGCCTCTTCTTTAGGGTCGTTTACACTTCCACCAAATTACGAATGCATTATAAACTATGTTTCCTGTGTAAGTCACAAGTGATTTCCCCTTGGACCCTAGTTTAAGTATGACTAATGATAAGAAAATTTGTAGTGCAGTCTCCATATGATATGAAATATAAACCACATCCTACTGTTAGAACTAGATCTTAGGCTTAGCAATATGATGAGAGTGTTGGGAAGCAAACTTAATCAGTCTCCAGCAACAGTACAAGCTACTGAAAGTGATGTTCAACCACTGACTCTGTTTTATCATGCAGAATTCCCAGGATCTGGAAAATAGCTCATGTAACTCCTCTGCATAAAGGAGGTGAGGCAGCAGATGTAAATAACTACAGACCAATCTCAAAATTGTCCTGTTTAGCTAAAATTTTTGAATTTCTAGTAAATAGTCAACTTATTAGTCATTTCTACATGAAAATTCTGTCCTGTTTAATTATCAATCTGGCTTTAGAGAAGGACACAGCACCATCTCTGCTACCACACTGGTTTTAAATGATCTGTATATGGCCATTTTTTGATGATTTATCAAAGGCTTTTGATACAGTTTATCACACTCTTCTTTTAAGGAACTTACAAAAGATTGGCTTTGATACAAATGCACTAAAATGGACCCAAAAATTACCTTTCAAACAGACAACAATGCGTAGCACTGAGTGATCACAAATCAGATTTTTTGACTGTATCCAAAGGGGTACCACAAGGTTTAATTTTGGGCCTGGTTTTATGCAATATATATTTTAATGAACTTGCTGCCTCTGCCTCAGTCTGCAAAGTACGTCTGTATGCAGACGACATGGTTTTATACTGTTCAGCTGACTCTGTTTTTGCTGCAATAAGAAAACTACAGTGCTCATTTAATGCCCTGCAGTTGCTTTTTGTAAACACAAACTGGTTTTAAATGCTAAGAAAAATAAGTTCATGCTGTTGTCCAGATACTAATACTGATTTAAATTCTGTAAAGGCAACCTTACTATTGGTCATGGACTACGGTGATGTAATTTACAAACATGCATCTGCCAGTTCCCTCAAACCACTGGACTCAGTCTATCACTCTGCACTGAGTTTCATTACTGGAGACCCATATAACACTGATCACTGCAGACGGTATGAAAAGGTTGGTTGGCCCTCACTAGCAGCACGACGGGAAACACACTGGTTTATTTGTATTCATACAACACTCTCCAGCCACATGCCAGCATATATTATTTCAATGATGTCTGTAAATAATGGTCTGATAAATACCATTATTTACAGACATTACAGTCATTTTAATGAATTTACTCGCTGCAGTGGTTGGATCACATGCCAGGTACCGAGGGTTTTTACTGAACTGGAAAAATCTGCTTTTAGTTACAGTGCACCAGCGAGCTGGAACTCACTACAGGAAACACTGAAGCTCAGCTCGCTAGTGTCACTCAGTCATTTTAAACTTTTACTTTCTAACCACCTCCACTTCATTTTTTTACCATTTATTTTACCATTTTACCATTTAAAAAGAATGTCATCCTGGGACACTGTCCTTAAAATCGGACTCCAAAATGCAAACAGCGTCTGCTGGAGTGACTGGGGGAAACTCCTTGACAGCCACCTAATGACACATGCTGCTGGCTTTAAGTACATTAAGGCATGGCAATGAACGTCCAATAATGCTCCATCCCAAATCAGTTTGTACAGCGTATGGTTCGTCAGGTCCACCTACAATTACTTCAATCAATCAATCAATCAATCAACCTTTATTTAACCTCGGAGAACATTGAGGGTGACCCTCATTTACATGTTGCCGAGTTGATACAGGAAAAGGGATTGATAATGTGTAAGAACATATCAAATAATAAAGGTAAATTTAATTTAAAAAATGACTCAAATCAGATAAGTTTAAAAAAGAAACATTAATGATAAAAATACATAAAAATACAGTGGAAAATCTAAAACATTAATTTAAACATAGCTAAAATGTAAAAGTTAATAAAATCAAATCAAAATAAAGAAGAATAAGATCAAAAAATAAACTAAAATTTAAACTAAAATGACTAAAATAATAATAAAATAATCATAATTAAATAATAATATGAAAAATAATAAATAAACTGACAAATAATAAAATAATGAAAATAAGACAATTATAGTAAAAAGATCAGGTAAAACAGGTGCAGGCAGAGTGGAGGAGAGAGTAAAAGTTTAAAATGATCGAGTGACACCACCGAGCTGAGCTTTAGTGTTTTCTGTAGTGAGTACCAGCTCGCTGGTGCACTGTAACTAAAAGCAGATTTTCCCAGTTCAGTAAAAACTCAGTATCTGGCATGTGATCCAACTACTGGAGCGAGCCTGATAAATACCATTATTTACAGACAAGTAATATATTCTGGCATATGGCCGGAGACTGTTTTATAAATAAAAATAAAACAGTGCGTTTCCTGCCGTGTTGCTAGTGAGGGCCAAC